ACTGCTTGATTATAACAACTTTTGTTGTGTTGACGGAATATACTTATTCGAATAATGTGTGTGTAATATTTGTTGATTGTTATTTGTATTTATATACAAGTCTGTATTTAAAATAACTTTTAATTATACATAGGCTATGGGTTTTAAGCTTTCACTGCGGTGAACATTCTTGTTGTGATGTTCTGAGTCATGACAACCTGCAGTATGATAGGCTGTTATCAGCGTTTCAGAGGACAATGTTTCCTCGAGATGTTGGCAACCACCTACTAAAGTATGTCATGTCATGGCCCAGAGGACCAGACTGATTCTCATGGCTGGATGAGTAATATCTTTACCTTCACGGTGTTTGGTGTGACAACTGTAGGCCGAGATTTCAGTCAAAGTTTCCATTGCCTGTCAGAGTGTTCGAAAGTCAATATCAGGTAAGGCTTATAAGCTCCCTTCTTAAATAACATAATATATAAATAATATCCACATAATGTACTAATCGTTTTAGTTATAATATAACCCAATTTGGCTCTGATAATTAGCAGAAGTGCCGTTAGTGGTAGAATGATTGAAGTTTATAATGTCAATAGATGTGATCGGAATTCTTGTATGAAGTTGACTATTTGTTTTGTATATTGGACCAGTATAACCTGAATTCCAATTTAATTAATGTAAATTCGAGACAAGTGCACATTATGCATCCCTTTAATTACAGCTCTTATACGTATGTAATACACACATTTCTATTTGTTGTAGTCCACTATATAACTATTGACATAATTCTCTGGCAGCAGAAATAGAAGGTTCATAACCTCAATATTGGAGAGTATCCTCCGGCTGTTCCCTTCGCCTCCAACACTCACACTTAAGATGCATCTTAATATTATCTTCTTGTTCTTCGAAGTGAAAAATTTGTAGAAATTTTTTAAACTAAATTCTGTATTGTCTCCTATGTTACATGCCCGGGGACACGCGGTAGCGTAGTTTGTTGAGGCACTGCGTTACAAGCCGGAAGGTCGCCGGTTCGATTCCCGATGAGGTGGATATTTTCAATTTGCCTAATCCTTCCAGCCGTACTATGGCCCTGGGGTCGACTCAGTCTCTAACAGAAATGAGTACCAGGAATCTTCCTGGGCTGTAAGGGCTGCCGGCACGTAAGGCTGACAAGCCGATTGTCTACAGAAAATGTGGGAGCCTTGACGTCTGACAACCCTATGGGCCTGGTCCGTATCTTGAGCCAGACAAATCCAATCCATACCATCCCATCCTGTCTCTCTAAGACCCAAGGACAGAAGATACAAAGTCACCAGCATATGCAAATGGCTTGAATGAAATGTGAAATGTTATATAATTCCTTTTTTAATCGTCTGTCCCTTCTTCTCTCTCAACCCTCATCCTCCCATTTGTTCTTATGATTTCCTCCTCCTTCTCCACCTCCTAGCGTCGTGGTGGATAGACGAAAAGTCTCCACGCTCTCCTTTCTTTCCACAAACCCTCCTTTTCGAGTCTTGCTAGATCCTCCCCTCTTTTCGATGTTCTTATTCTGTTTTGGGTCTCTCCGTAGGTTTGTTCCTTTTAAATTTTAATTTTAATGCACTTTTTAGTGTCTTTGTTCTATCTTTTCACATAGACAAATTACAGTAACCGTTCCTCTTCTAATTCTATTAATAAATTCTGAACTCCGACATCTTATCCAAGAATTTAATTTGTAATTCTGTCCCTTCCTCTTCCTCCCTCCGCATTCGTAAAAAATGTGAAATCCATTGCTTGGATTTTTCGTTTGTTTGCCCTTGAAAAAGTCCAAGTTCAAGCACCATGTGTCAGTGTGGGTTTGAAAAATATTTATATTAGATTGTTGTTTTGAACTGGTTTGGGATTTCTATTACGTAATACCTACCTACTTACCTAACTATCACTCAGCGCTACAGCCCTGGGTGAGCCTTGGTCTCCTCTACAACCAGTCTCTACTGCTCTCTATTCCTCATCTTCTCTATCCATCCTTTCACCTTCACCTTCCTCATGTCGTTCTCAACATCGTCTGGCCATCTCATCCTGGGTCTTCCTTTTCTTCTTTTGGAATATAGCCTCCCTTTTAACATTCTCTTTGGCATTGCATTCTCTTCCATTCCTTCAACATTCCCCAACCACCTTATTCTCTGTGACTTAATATTGTGACTGTTACGTAATATTCGTATTAAAATATGAAACATTTCAGACTATTTCGTATTTCCATCAGTTTTCCTTTCTTTGTCTATTTAAATTCCCAAAAAATGATCTCTTTAATAAATATTATATTTCAACATTTGTTGCATTGAGGTGTCATTTATAGTATATTTTCTCCATCTATAATGCAATAAATTAATATCACTGATTCACATTTAATCCATACAATGATCATTAAATGTATAAAATGTTATTAAAATCATTAAAATATTAAAAATGTATATGCATATATATTTTTAATATTTTAATAATTTTAATAAAATTAAAAGTGAATTAGTATTATTAACTTGTTGCATTATAGAGGGAAAAAATAGACTATAAGTGACTCTTTGATAAATGTGATCTACTATATGATGATGATAATAATTATTTCACTGTACTCCACGTAATATATAATAATGCTGTTTACTTCTATCAGAGACCCTCTTTCAGTTACGCAATACACACGCTGGGTGGTGAGAGGGCTGATTGAAATCTCCCTTTGACCTCTAAACTGTTTACAGCTTCATGTCTTTGAACTAGCTGACTGTACTGTGTAATGATACTGGACTTTATTTGCAACCACACGCAATAGGAATTTCACAAAGTGACAGCAAATGACTGGAGATGTCATTGCCATTACTGGCATCATTCCACGATCTTATAAGCTGTACTACAGCCCTGTCTTCAGCAAATTGTGAACCGGGTGAGTAACTGAAATGATAATCAGAGAAATGGAAGGAGAATTTTGAAAATAGAAATTACGAAACTGCTGTAACCAGACTGGTTTGAGATTCTTTGCAACGATGTGTGTGAAAAATACTAGCTTCTGGGAAATGGCGCCGTGCATTTCGGTATCTGATGGACGAAGTTTCGGAGGTATGTACTACGTCCATTTTCAGGGTAAAAATGTAAGCCAGGTAAGCAACAAGCAAGAGTCCAACAGTTCGATCCTAAAGATGGAGGTAGTTATTTCCTCCAAAACTGGATGAAATTTAGTGGATTACACAATGTCACTTTCCAGAGCACAATAGTTTTCTGTATTCTCATTTAACAAGGCCGATTCATAGTACAGTGAACAGCGGACATTAAAGGTTTCAAAGGCTGTAGTTTAAATACACAGACAATATAAAATATAATTTTTCCAAGTACCAAACAATCTGCCAAAGAAATAATATATAAACGTAGATATGCATATATCTTGTGGCGCGCCACAAACACATGCAGGACAACATCAAAGAACCCTCTTCTCGACGACAGGGGGGCACACATTCGGCCCCCGTCAAGAGAAATGATAAGAAAGACGACACGAACCTACTTGGTTTATAAATTCCAATAAAATCTTAATAAACCAATTACAAGTATTTTAACGTATTTGAACAGCCGCTGTAGTTGTAAAAACTTTAGATTTTATGCTCAATTGTATATTAATAATATTATATGTATATATTTTAACGTTCAGAACATATATTATAACAGTAACTTCAAACTGTATTGATGTAAATGTGTCCCTCTGATGATGGTCTATGAAGACCGACAAATGTAAGGGCATAAATAACTGAAATAAGAAAAATCTTCACCAGTCATACTAGACGGAACTGTTTAACTTTTCACATAAAAAATGTTCATAATAAGACTTAGCAATTACCAGACGGATTCAGTAATTAGTCTCTTTTCCGCAAAGTATTCTCTGTCTATCTATGGCCCTACAGCCGTTTTTGGGCCTTTGCCGCTTTTTCAGTTTCTTGATCTTCTACACAGTAGGTAGGACTCCTTTGAGGGGGATCAGCCCGCCTGAAGGCCGCTACCTACACACAAAACAATCCAAACACAGAATAAATGCAAACAGACATCCATGCCTTGAGTGGCATTCAAACCCATGATCCCAGCATTCGAGCGAGCGAAGACAGTTCAAGTCTTAGACCGCACGGCCACTGTAATGAGTTCTACTACAGGACTATCAGCAGACGATGCTATATCTGAAGTTCTCACAGCGGTGACTGTGAGAATACAATCTTCTGGCATATATGATACCGTGTAGTTGATTACCGACGTTTCGGAGGAATGCACTACCCCTCTGTACAGGATTACAGAATAAGTCTGGTGGACAAAAGGCCAGAAGCAAGCAGAAGGGAATTTGCCACTTACCTGTAGCTTGTTGTTTGCTTGGCTCTTTCTTCAAGCCTGAAGCTGGAGGCAGTAGGAAACATTTTACCAGACTGTACGGCGTAATATCCCAGGAGACAGTACTTTTCATAGGAACATGCTGTTGTGATTACAGTAAGGTAAAAAAGTAAAGATGTTCTAATTAAGCACTGCGCCATGAAGACGTGGGGGAGTGAAGGTATAGCTCCACCATTCCCGACAGGGTAATGAACCTTTATGTTCCATATAATTTGAGGAATCATTCGAGTATCCGAGCGGTTATCTTCACAAGCAGGACCCTCCTTCACGGAGTTAATTACAAATACTATGAACTTTAATCTTAAATTTCAATATAAGTTTTGATAGGTCATATGTAAATAGATTGAATCCTACACTACCGCTGTGTGACAAATCAGCTTCTGAGAGCAAGCAATGGAAATTGCGGAATTTAAAATTTACCGAGTTTTAGGTCGATAAACGTTTTGTGTAGGGATATTTCTGGATCTGGCTGCCCTGTTTAAAATGGACCGAGTAGAGAACAATGAAATTCAAATCTTGTTTAGTTTGTACAGTACCGACGTTATATTTCTTTCTTGTCTAACTGGTGTTATGAAGATGCCTGAGTTCAGTCGTGGAGTCTTCAGGAAGAGGAACAGCGTGTAAGAACCAAAAATAGTTAAGCAGAATTAGTTTATGGATCTCCAGTGTGTGCAATAAATGAAGTAAGGTTAGGGGTGCAGACTGCCAAACAATAAAACAGCAAGAGAGTGGTGATAAATACTTAGACTTTTGACACAGTGTGGTGTGAATACGCAAAAAATAAATGTGTAACATAACCAGCTGTGCTGCATGCACTCTGTTGTATAAGGAATGTGCAAGAAGAGTATATCGGGAAATAACAAAATTTTGGGCCGAAAGCTCAGGTTCAGCAGTATCGTAAATACTGTGGGCTTAGTGTAGCAGTAGCGATACATGTAAGCTATAGGCCTGCAGTATAAATCTGCCTATGTGCTGTACATGAAAATATGTTGTGAGATAGCATGTGGAGTTAGGTATGTTACAGAACCACCAGCAAAAATCTTCGAAATATGACAACGGCATGGTTCCTTTGTGAAAGGTATGCAGCTGTGTTTACTTCTAGACCACCCTCCTTACAAGCGTCAATTAAAGTCTCTGTGTTTCTCTTTATGGTATCTATATTATCACCCAGTAGACTCAAATCATCAGCATAGCTCAACAGCTGATGTGTCCCACATAATCATTGCTCTAAGCACCTTAAATCCAGTAGGCCATTAGTACATTTTCTCATGTTAAAAGGATCAGGACTTTTTAATTTTAAAACCTTATAGGAGACAAAGGATTGAAGAATTCGGCGTTTTAATGAGAAGAAAATCTGCGAGTCCAGCCTTGAAACTGACATGGTAGATCTGAGTAAATGTGGTACATCTTGCTGTTACAGAGTTCATCCAGTTTGCATTAAACCAAGAGGAATGTAGGAAAAAATGGCGATCAGCCGTCCTTGAAATACAGAGACTTCAGACAGAGTTGGAGATGAGAGTAAAATACATTTCGGTGCTGGAAGGAAAATTAAGCCACGCACAGCGCATGATAGATAAGGAAAAGCAGAAACGGCGTGAAGTCGAAATCTATATGTCTGCACTGGTGAGACCAGTTATAAGAATTATGTCACAACAATATTGAATTTTACATAATATTTATGTACCAAAGAATCAGTGTCATTTCATTGTATAAGTATAGAGTCCTTGCTTGCATGTATCACTTAAATTCAGTAATCAACTGCATTGAATTTGTTGCACAGGAAAAGAATTTATATCACGTTGGAGATACTCTTGTGGCCGAACTTGGTAAGGAAGCATATAAAAAATATCCATTATTGTACGTATTTGGCAACAATCCTGAGGCTAATGGTGATCATGCAGAATCTAGAACCAGCACCATGAGTGAGGTTGCAAATTCAACAGGTATGGATCTTACCATTTGTATAGAAGACTGATTTACACCATCACACAAGCTTTATTTCTGCAGGTGTAGCCAGTTCTGTGAAATGTTTTGCTCTCTAAACAACTGTCATCAGGTGAACATACACATAAAGGTATAATAAACTGTAGAGGAATATTAATTTTTTAAAAATAATAATTTGTTTATTTGATGTTTGAAGTCAGGTCTGGTCTTTTACTGTAGCAAAATTGATCCAGATGGGTTAACTTTTACTAAATTAAGGTCTTATTCATTTTTTATCATTTTTCTGTAATCTCATGCACATTTCAACCTGATGGCTGTCATTTAGTGACCATAACTTTTCATGCAAGTGACTTTACCTGCAGAAATAAAACTTTTGATGATATACAGTGCTCACCTGTAAGCTTACACTAGCAGAGAGCAGAATAATAAAATGTATCATTTCAGGCAACATTCCTCATTCTTTAAGGAAAGAACATGCTTCCACGTGATCTGAATCTGCTCTTGTTTGAAAGTTATTTGAAGAAATAGTGTGGATTTTGTGTGAAATGGCATTTACTCGCAAGCATCGTTAGTGTTTTTAGGAGGTAGTTGTATAGCAGGGCTTGGCAGACCGAGAGTGAAGAGTAATCTGAAACATTAGTATTTTCATGTGTTAGGGACTAGACACAGAGTTTGGATTGGCAATTGGATTTACTGAAGGCTTGTCACCCGTAACTGTGGGTAACTGTAACAGTTTCAGGTGCTATCCATGGAGGTTTTTCGCAGTCAACCACCAGCTGATCACTTACAGTTTACAAACTGCAGTCACCAGCATCGAACTCAAGACTGACTGGCTTCAGTTGGTTGGTCGCTCAGTTAAATTGCTGCTGGCCTTCGCCAACACAGTCTTTCCTGGCTTAAGTCTCCTTAAGATCCATGACCAAGATTTTTGTTCTCTCCTAGACATATACATGTTTTAAAATGGGGCCTTGTCTTAAAAAAGGAGCGGTTCGTTTTTCTGTGTAGGTGTTACCTTTGTTGCCCCTCAGTTTTAGCATGAGTGTATCCATGATGTCATGGCATCCAGATCACTATGGACTCTGTGCACCCTTTGTCACTGCACTGTTCTAAGCAATATTTACAAAAGAAATAACAGAGGTTTTCTGTCAATGCATGCTTGTGCAGCAGGTTATGCCCTAACTTGTGTAATTACTCTGAAACTGCAGTTAGTCAGCAGAATGGTTGTAGGCCTCACTGCTGCTGTTCCATTGGCCCTCACTGTATAGCTTCAGGTTGGACGCCATAGAAAACACTGTCTCCTGCAATTCTTCTGTTGTTGCATGTTTATGTGTTGCCGCAGGCACATGTTTAGCAGCCCTTACCTAACAACAGACAGTTTTTTCTGGTTCCATTATTCCGGCCTTTCAGCTGCCATGTCAAAGTACTGATCTAGAGTACATGGTAACACATGCCAGAAATTGACCTTCAGTAATTACTTTATTTAGTCACCGTGTTTTTCAACTACATTGGTTTTATAGTGTCACATACTAGGATTATTCTTGATAGTGGACTGGAAAGGACATGGGAGTAGCTGGATATGGCCTTTATTAAGGTTTTGGCCAAGAATCTGCCTGAAGGAACTGGTTGAAAACAAAATATATGTCAGAATTGCCAGTCTGAACTGAGAATCAAACCTGCGACTTTCAAAATAGGCATGAATGCTAACCATTACACCTTGGCGTTTAGTATATACTGATGTGTTTTTGTTTTTCAGGTTCACTGTTTTCTGATCTGAGCTACTCGCGCTGTGAGGATGATCTTGACCTCACTGAAACAAATTGTGGAAAAATATGGAAAAAACATAGGCCATCTCTACCCGCACCTGGAAATCCAAACAGTACCAATAAACGACAGTCTTTGGCTTTCATGCAAACAAACATACTTAATAATCATATAGAGAAAAGCAATGTGAGTGAGTTGGAATTGAGGAGTACTATATCGTGGGATGTAATGCTGAGACAAGTGGATTTGTTTTTGCCTAACTTATTCTTGTTTAGTAATTGAGACTGGAACAAACGTTCTGTCCCCTCCTCATTTAAGCACTCCAATTTTGAGTTTGAAATTGAACAGAAAACAGAAGATTCAGACTTTGAATTGAGAAATTAATGTCAGTTCCTATATTTTCTTATTTTCACAGCAGTATTTTTCTTAGAGACGTTAAAAATTGATGGATTACTCTTGAAAATACTTGTACTGAGATATGTGATGCCACATTGTGTTGTGTTACAGAATTGTGTTAAAAATTTTATATTAACTTTCAGTTTGACTATCAACTGACAGATGTACTGAGCTGTAGGTCAAATAGTAAAATTATTTATGCTTTTTCATTACTCTTTTTTTAAGTACTTCTTTCATATTTTGATTACTTTCATGTCACTATTTTACAAGATGGCTGGCACAGGTACAGTCAAGATGAACACAGTGGGGGCAGATGGCATGCCCCAATCCACGAAAATTGACACTAATGATGGGACAGTTAACGCTGTTTCCCAAGGGCTTTTACATTCAGTAACACCCTCTGTGAGCAAAGGTAAGTTAACAAAATATAATTGAAAAGCCACATTACAGATGCATATATTCTGTGGTGTGAAGTGTGTTCTAAAGTAAGCAATTGAGAAAGTTCTGTATAATTCTAGGATCTAAGGTTCTCACAGTAGTGGCTATGAAGAGTTCTATCTTCTGGGATATAATACTATGTAGCCCATTGAAAATTAATTGACATTTCAGTGGGGCATGTTTCTTGTGGAGTACTTCATGCTGGTTTCTTGTTTGGCGTACTCATCAACCCTAAAGGTAGATGTGAAGTGTTCCTCTTAATCTTTGATTAACTTTCAACAGACTGCATTACTTTATATCCCTGAAAGTAGAACTCTACTCTGTGGCCCTTCACAGCCTTAAAGTACGTTCTGCTGATGACAAGAACTGGTAACTCCTGTTGAGTTTACTGTATTTTTATAAGATAAAAAAAAGTTTTGTACATCTTCAGTTGAAGTGTCACACCTGATCTGCAGTACAAGCAATAACTAATTCCATGGAGCAGAGGTCTCTTAAGGAACTGATGGTTGCTAATAGAGTCAAGAACCTCCCATGGAACCCAGAGTTTTGTTAATGTTACTGTGGCCACAGGAGCTTGCCATTCGTTCCTATCCTGAGCCAGATGAATCTGGTCTAAGATTCAATGAAGAAATGAAAGAAGAAGTGTGAAGAGAAATAGTGCGAAAGGATAAAGTGTATGAAGGGGCATCAGAAGAGAGGAGAATATCCTAAACACTGATGGGATGTGTCAGAGGAGTAAAAAAAAATGTGAAGTTACCTATGTCCATAATTTAACAAGCACCAAGCCATGAAGATGTGGGGGGAGTAGAGGTATAGCTGCACTATTCATGGTCTTGGCACTAGATGGAGGTCAATGGTCAGCTTCATGCCCCTACCACTTTAATCCCATGGATAGAGCCACTGATACTCATTGGATAGGAGGCTAGGTGGGCCCCAGAGCCAGTCTGCATGCTACAGAGACAGGAAAAATATTGACTTGCCAGGAATTGAACCCTGGCCTTCCAGCCCGAAACCCATTGCTATGCAAACTGAGCTATACTGTCTCTGGTGACAGGTTAAGGAGTAAAGAGAATTGAGAAGTGGAGGAGAGAAAATGTAAACTAAATAAATGAGGTGTACAAGGGGAGAGAAGCACATGTTACTGCCCTGAAAGGGGCAGGATCACTGGGCCTAACAGCCTTGTTAGAGAAAGAGTCTTGAGAAGGCGTACAAAGGAGGCTTCATAAATTTTTAATGACAAGTTAGAAAGTTACCATAACTTGCTTATGCAGAGGCCATCCTACTTAACTATAAGAATGTTCTGAGGTGATCTTAATATGCTTACTTTCATTTATGTTCTTTCATCTATAGAGCATTTATTAATGTAGGTTGATATCAGTGAAATTAATTTATTATCATACATTTTCTCTTGACAGGTTCAGATATGTTGGACATAAACTCTCTCTGTGATATAAGATCCAACCTTCTAACACCACAGGCTACAGGGAGCTCTGTTGGTAGCTTCTTCCCACTTGGATTGAAAATTCTGAACAACCGTAGGCATATTTTTTGTATGAAAACTGTCATTTTTCTCGAGAACTGTGACCACTGTGGTAAAAGGTGGGTAAAAAGCAACTTTCAGAGAGATTTTGAAGCTGTTGCACTTTGTTCTGATAGGTGTAAACTGTTCTAATGGCGGTGACTGTGAAGGTTACCGTCGTTTGTGATGCGATGGATTGTAGTCTGGTAGATTGTTTCGAATGGTTTTGAGTACCCTACTGTCTCCAGGTTCTACTCTGAAGTTGGAGGCATCAGCTGCCTTCAGGATGTTTGTAATGATATACAAGACTGCATGGTGCCATGGTTTATAAGACACTCATCTTTAGACCTGCTCTCATCTGCATGTGACTTGTCATTGCATTGATTTGTTATTACTTTTACTTTCATTCGATTTCATTTTGTTATTAGTGGTAAGAATTGGGACAGAGAACAGAGGTGGACTAGAGGTGATACTTTAGTCTTTTATTTAGTAGCAGCTCATAATGAATCTTGCCTGCGATATTGACTATTCTGACTGCAATTTTTTTGTTTTTCTTCAGACCCTTCAAGCTAATTCTGGGATACTGTCTTGATTAGAAACCACTTCCCTCCAATTCATTAGTCATCACTCATCATCTATTATTACGTAATTTTGATAGTGAAGGTATTAAATAACCTTACTTACTCATGGAAGTGAGCCCTTCTGGAGGAGTGGCCAATTCTGCAGCTACTCAAGAATTTCCCAACATTTTATGGAACCCGAAGGTTCAATGTCGTGTTCACAAGAATCCTCCACTGGTCCCTATCCTGAGCTGGATCACTCCAATCCATACTATCCTATCCTACCTCTCCAAGATCCATCTTAATATTGTTCACCCACCTGCGCCTTGGTCTTCACAGTGGTCTCTTTCCTTCTGGCGTTCCCACCAATATCCTATATGCGTACCTCATCCTCCTCACTTGATCATTCTAATTATACTTGGAGAAGAGTACAAGTTATGAAGCTCCTCATTATTCATAACCTCTGAAAAAAATAGAAGTTCAATATTCAGAAGGTTCTAGGTTATGTCCTGAGTGTTGCCACAATATATAAAAAATAACAACAAATCTGATAATATGATGACAACCATATAACATAAAGATGGCAGTACAACCAGCTCCTGAAACATTGTGTGTGTTAATATACTTCAGAAAACTGATATTGGCCAACATGATATTAATGTAATGAGTCGGTCATAGGCAAAAACCTGTAGAGAGTCTGTATTATTGATTATTTCTAAGACTTAATGTAGAAAGCTGAAACATGTAATGATTCATATAGTACTTGTCTTCTGGGTTGTAATGCCATGCAGTTCAGAGAGAGCCTGATGTTTCAAACAAAACATATTGCTCAGAGTCGTCTGCCCTTGGGAGCAAGCTGAGCTTGCTTACCTGCTTCTGTTGGTTCATGGTTTGGCTTAATCTTCAGTCCTGAAGACAGAGACGTTATGTTCCTTTGAAATGACAGACACTCTCTGAATTGCATGGCATTAGAACCCAAAAGAACACACGCTTCACAGTCTCTGCTATAGGAACCTCAGATGTAATGTTAGGTACATTATGTATTTTATGTCATGTTGTTTTTGAAGGATTAAGTTTGGGAAAATGGTGATGAAATGCCAGGACTGTCGGGCATCTTGTCACCCAGAATGCAAAGAGTATGTGCCTCTGCCTTGTGTACCAGTGAGCAAAACTATCCTGGCATGTCAGCAAGGTGAGAGAGGTACCATTTCTGATTATGCACCATCAACAGCGCCCATGGTTCCATCTCTCATTGTGCACTGTGTCAATGAAGTGGATCTTCGTGGTCTTAATGAAGTTGGAATCTACAGAATTCCTGGTTCTGAAAAGGATATTAGGGAACTGAAGGTACAAAATACGGTTATGAATGTAAATAACAGTTATTTACCCAGGTTTTGGTCTTGTGGGTTGTGGTACCATGTAGTCCAGCAGGTAGATACCACATTTTTGAGGAACATTCAGTATTCATCTTCATGGTTTGAAGTGTGTAGGATGAGGAACTGGCTGAGTTGTATAGGCAGGCTGCAGAGTTTTGTGGGCACTCAGAGACAAGAGAAGGGAATAATGAAATGGAGCCTGATCTGGGCCAGTGGGAACAGTGAACAGGAAAAGAGGTCTTGGGTCTCAGTGACCAAGCCTGAAGATGGAGACAGCATATTCCTCTGAAATGCCAGTATATTCCTGCAATGCTACAGCATGTTGCAGCCCAGAAAACAGCACTATGAGCAGTTAATGCTATGGATACCTCAAAACTTTACAGTCTTTTGGTCTTATTTCTCAAAAGAATCATGTTTATGTGTGCTTGCTTCATGATAACATTTGGAAAAGGTGTCAAAGTTTTGTAAAACATTTTATAAAGTATGGTGAATAATAGGTAATCCTTTACTTTACTTCATAATTATTTTACTGTAAGTATGTAATACTATCATGATGGCTGTGTGAGACTTGGGACTTACAGTAACCATAACGCCAGTGAGTTAGGCTCAGCAAATGTTTACTTATTTCACCAGTTTGAGAAAAATGTTGTACTCACAAAATGTTTCTTCATAAGAGGGACTGTGCTTACCAGCACTACTGTAATTTCTCCATACCAGCCTACTTACTGTCACATAGCACACAAGACATGTACTCTAAAATCTCTTACCTTGTGATGTGTGTATGAGATATTTACAGGTCACTATCTGTGTAAAAGTAAAAGAGAATAGCAGAGAATATCAGTGCATAAATTAAAAAATTATTACACTTAGTAATCTCCCATTCTCACCCTTCATGGATATGAGGATGAGTCTGTTTGTTGTGCCCTAACTATGAATTCCACAAATTTTGTAAATAAATTATAAATTATGTGTCTTTCATTGGCTTCTTTTTTTGGTGGGGGGTGGGGGGGGCAAATGTAAAACTAAACATGATGTTGTTGAAAAATGTATTTTTTAACTTTTAATTTGATGATGGTGATGACTAAACTGTGGGAACTTCATGCATGAGATTTTGTGTTAGGTAGACCTGCAAATTCTAACACACTTGTCTTCTAGATGTTAACAATTACTGATAAGGCAATACTCTAGAATTTTGAGGGTACATGTTACAAATATAGCATAGTTAGAACTTGCACTTAAATAAGCTGCAGAATTGTACAATTATTAATTTATTTGGGCAATTTGAGGTGCTCACAGATGTGACTATGAATAGCAGTATGTTCTAGGCTGTGATGCCGTATAGTCTTGTAGAAGTTTATTGAGATTTCAGAGGTATGCATTGCCTCCATCTGCTTCTCACTTACTTAGCTCACTCTTTCACCCTGAAGCAGGAGGCAGTACATTCCACTGAAACATCAGTTAACTTACACCATGCTCTATTAGTGATATCTTCTTAGTGATGTAGGTCATGACATCATCCTTAGAAGGTTACTATATTCTATTTTTAACGTGCAATAGGAACCAGAATTTACAAATCCAAGGTCTCAAAGGTCTCACACAGGATTTTTTTTGTTCTTTTGCATAATATTTCCTACTCAAGGTATGATATATGGACCAAAAGTTTCAGAGAGACTTTTCACTCGTCATATATCACAGACCAAAACATTTGAAGTAAAAGAGACATCATAAATTCTTCTGAGAACCCTTTGTTGTCCTCCTTGACAATTTTCACTTAAAATATTGTACGTCTTCAAGTGACATCAGACTAACTAAATAAAGGTGAAGCTGTCCATGTGTTTAACTAATTAAGCACTGTGTCATGAAGGCATATGACGAGTGGATGTATAGACCTGCATTTTTCGACCTTAGGACTAGTTTTATTTTGGGGGGGGGGTGAGCGGACAGCTTCACGCCCCAGCCACTTTACCTCGGAGGAAAGCGCCCCTGGTGCCTATTGGATAGGAGGCTGGGTGGGCCCCAGAACCTGCCTGGATGTTACGGAGGGGAGAAAATTCTTGTACTTACTGGGACTCGAACTCCAGCCTCTTAGTCTTCCAGGCCATAGCCAGTCACTATATTGACTGTGCTATCCTGGCTCCCAAGTAACTAATATTCATCTTTTTTTTTTCCTTGCAAGTTTCTTTTGCACTTTTTATGTGAAATAAACATATGAATATGAAGATATAAGTAGACATCTCCTACTTCAGTCACTACTTATGCCCCTTCTGGCTGAATAAAGGTCACACTGGATGGAACTATTTAACTTTTTCGTGTAAAAATAGTTATAACTATTTATTAGTACCAATAACTAATGTAGGAATTATTTTTGCAGTAAAAGTAACATGAACATATTGTTGTAAGATTATTACATATATACAGGAAAAGTTTTTGCAAGGAAAAGGTGTTCCAAATTTGTCAAAATTGGACATCCACCTGGTGTGCGGAACTATCAAGTATTTCTTGCGTTCCTTACGTGAGCCTCTGGTGACCAACTCACTGTGGCATGACTTTGCAAAAGCTGCAGAGAATCCAGACCCAGATGATAGCAGAGCGCTCATGTATCAGGCCATATCGGAGCTACCCCAACCAAACCGAGACACTCTGGCCTTCCTCATCTTGCACCTGCAAAGGTAAGTGGGGCTTACATTTTGATTTTTCGTTTTCTTGTGTTCCTTGTTTTTAGCACAGTTTCCTACCTTAACCCTGAACACATCCAAGCAGTAGTGTTGTTGGTTGAGGTCAATGGATTTTTTCAATTTACCTAATCCCTCTGGGGCATGCGGTAGCATAGTTTGTTGAGGCACTATGCTACCAGCCTGAAGGTCACAGGTTCAGGTCCCGATGAGGTCATTGGATTTATTTCAATTGATCTAATCCTTCCAGCTGCACTATGGCCCTGGTGTCAACTCAGCCTCTAGCAGAAATGAGTACCACGAATATTCTTGGGAGTAAAGGGCGGCCGGTGCGTAGGGCTGACAATCATGCTGCCATCTATGAGCCGATTGTCTAGAAAATGTGGGAACCTCAACATCTCACAACCCTATGGGCCTCCACAGCCTGTTACAGGGATACCTTTACTTACTTTTTTACCTAATCCAGCCGCACTATGGCCCTGGGGTTGACTCAGCGTCTACCAGAAATGAGTAACGGGAATCTTTCTGGGTGTAAAGGGCAGCCGGCGCATAGGACTTACCACCATATGTGAGCCAATTGTCTAGAAAATTTGAGAGCCTTGATGTCTTACAACCCTATGGGGCTCCATGACCTATTACAGAGATAGCTTTACCTGTACCTTACCTTTTACACATCACAGATTGATTAGATTGGCTCAGGGAATTTGGATTAAAGTGACCACAGATGAAGAGATCTAATTGTCATTGTTAATCAGATGGTACAGAATTTCTGTCAGTATATGGTATGAAATGTAACCTACTCATATTGGAAGAAAAACCAGTCTTTTACTTGATCTGTACCTGCTGCTGTTTGAAAGTCATCTGATGAAGTGCTGTGGATTTTTCTGTGCAACCACATTAATCCCCATGCAGCCTTAGCATTCATAGCAGGGCCTGTGATGAAAGGGATAACTGCTTCGTTGTATTCCCGATCCTTTTAAATAATTCAGTCTCTGTTCCTGTTCTTTATGTGAAGAAAAACTTAATGCTCAAAGCAATTCTGTGTTTTTATATCCCAGTGTTCTTCTGGGCTGTGTAGCAGATGTTGTGCTTGGTTTTTGTGCTTCTCAGAAGGTTGCACCACAACAGAAAATAGTTTTTCCTTTGTGGATACAGTAATGATGTATTTTATATCTTCAGAAACACAAATGGGATTCTGAGTCACCATTGAAGGGGTTAAGGAAAGGAGTAGATTTTTGAGGTCACCATACTGTCCGTGTGTGCATGTGCATGTCTCTCTCTGCCTGTCACCTCATTTCAACTGTTGAATCATCTAACCAATTTACACGAAACTTGGTATGAACATTATGCCATGGAACATTTTAATTTGCTGCAATAAGGGAACAATATGATGGATGCATGAACTTCTGATGTGTTAGAACAAACCTAGGTCCAGACAGTTTAGGCTCCTGAAATGATTTATGGTGGAAGACCTTTGAAAGCCCTGCAACTTTTATATCAGTATTTTTGGATAAAATTGTTGGTATGGCTTTCATGTTAGAAATTTTGTTTGCTTTCAGTCTGATGGCAGTAAATAGTGAACTATTTGGGCTAAACATGTGAAAATTGGTACAGATGTAGATCATAAACATTGGGGTTTGATTCCCAGCATGGACAATGGATTGTTTTCTTCATACTGTCCAAATAGCCCATCCAGTGGGTATCTGGGGCTCTTCCCATGGGGGTGATACAACTGAGACGTGAATACTACTGCTCCCATTTAGGCAGTGTCTACACGAGTGCACAAAATGCGTCCATTGTAACAAACGTACTTTGCTGAGGATGTTGCTGGGTACACTACGTGGTTGCAGAATGTGGTGCATAGTTTTTTGTCTGCAGTGGAGCCAGAAGAAAGCATAGCATTCGCCTCTCTTGTTTATTTCTACAATGGACACGTTTTGTGCACTCGTGTAGACGCTGCCTTAGGATTCATTCTTGTGGCTTGTGCTTAATCAGGTGCAGAGACTTTTAATTTTTGCCATAAATAAGAAACTGCTTATTTCACGCCTTTTTTTTTTTTTTTGTCTTTCACACAGGGTTGCTGAGTCTCCAGACTGCAGAATGCCAGTGGCCAATCTTGCGAAAGTTTTTGGTCCGTCAATTGTAGGCAGTTGCTCCTTGGATTGCAGAGCCACACAAATGCTGAAAGAAGTAAAGAAGCAAGTAACAGTATGTGTTATCTCCCAATGTTTAATGTATAAAACAGAGTTAAAAATTTGAGTAAAAGCAAATAGATCATTCAGCAAATTTGAGCTTCTTATACTTGTGCCACACACATGGAACACAACTTCAGTATGTTGAAGAGTATTCCCTTTTAGGGTGTTACATTGAATAGTCTAGTAGAAGGAACTTTCTGGCCTAATGTTCAGGGTAAAAGAGTAAGCCAACGCCAGCAATCAGCAAGCAGAGCTCACTTTGTATCTTACTTGGCTTACTCTTGAACTCTGAAGGCAGGGACAATGCATCCCTCCAAAACTTCAGTAAACTTCTGCCAGACTACATGTTACATCCCAGAAGATAGTACTTTTCATTGCCACCACATGAGACCCTGAAATCCAACAAGTTTTTCATTTATTCTCTTCCATTTGCATTTTTAACGTGGTAAATTCAAAATGCAGTTTTAGTGGAAAAATGGTTGGCTCAGCAGGTGAACATATTAGCCAAAGACTCTGGAAAGGAGTAAGGTAAAAAAAAGTAAAGCTATCATCCCTTTAACAGGCTGTGGAAGCCGATAGGTTTGTGAGACGTTGAGGGTCCCACATTATCTAGACAATGGGCTTATAGATGGCAGCAAAATTGTCAGCCTTGCCAGCCGCACTTTGCCCCCAAGAATATTCCTGGTACTCATTTCTATTAGAGGCTGAGTCAATCCCAGAGCTATAGAGTGGCTGGAAGGATTAGGTAAATTGAAAAAAATCCAGTGACCTCATCGGGACTTGAATCTGTGACCTTCCGGCTTATTTGAGCTGAATTTTGACATAAGGAAAATATATTTTTAATGGGAGATAGTTGCTTCACATTTATGACCATATTTATGGATGGGAGAGCAGATTTTTCTAAAGAAAATACATTTTCATAAGGTTGGCCATGTTGTATTAGAAACTATCTAAATTACATGTTATATGAAAACTAAAATGTGTGTGAAGTCACAACAGGGCAATCTATGGAAGTCTGAGGAAAGAAAGTACAACCCCCTTGAGCATGAGCCATGTCAGATCATGGTGGACCAAGTGCAATTACCTAATTGTTTCAGATAGTATTTCCGCTATAAGAAGATTAAGAAACAATATATGTGTATATTAAGTGCAGTCTTGATGATGAATTCTGCTGGTTCCTTACTTGGCTTACACTTTGCTATGAGGACAGAGGTGATATAGTCACCGAAAAGATTGGGCTTTCCCCAAACTATACAGTATTACAACCCAGAAGACCATACTCTTCCTACTCACTGCCGTGAGAATATCCAGACGAACAATATATGAGGGCTGTTTGGAAAAGAACCTGCATTTATTTTAGGCAAGTAATGTAGGAATGAGAGAGAGCTCATGCGTGTGAGGTAGCGTCACATTACTCATTGGCTTGTAAACCATCACATAACTGGTTGGCTCATGCTTGTTCTTGTCTCTGCAGAGTGAGTTATGATGTTTTCTGCCATTGATAATCCCACCAACTATGAAATTTGCATTGTTATCCACCTTCATTCTAAAAACACGAGTGCCACATAAATGCATCATGAATTATGGTGGGTGGTTTATGGCTAAAATGTAATGAGTGAAGGAACTGTAAGACAATGGTGTAAAATGTTCTTAGATGGGCGAACAGATGTTCACGATGAAGAGCGAAGTATTCAGTCATCTGTAGTGAGGGATGATCTTGTTCAAAATGTTAGAAAAAAATTTATGAAAACTGGCCCTTTACAATTTCAGAACATGGATGTGAATTTCCACAAAATTCACACACTCTTTTCAACATGATTATCACAGTTAGGCTAGGCTATCATCACAAGTTTTGAGCAATATGGGTTCCAAAAGTGATCATGGGTGTGCACAGAATGCAGAGAATGGCTTTGGCTTTTGACATTTTTAGAGTGATACCACAAAGATAGCAATGAATTTCTCAATCACATCATATGAGTAACAGGAGATGAAACCAGGGTTTCATTTGTGAATGTTGATACCAAGGAGCAGTCAGAGCTGTGTATGGCCACACATTCACTAAACAAGCCATGAAAGTTTAAATGAACGTTGTCTGGCAAAAAGCTGATGGCAGCTGTTTTCTGGGACAGGAAAGGAGTACTGATGGTGGAATTCATGCAACAAGGGGCCACAGTAAAATCACAAGTGTATTGCAAAACACAAAAAAGAACTGTGTAGGGCCATACAGAACAAAAGGCGTGGAATGCTGACACACAGTGTGGTGCTCCTTTGTGACAATGCGCGTTCGCATACAGCTGGTCACACTCAAGCACTGCTGGAGCATTTGAACTGAGAGTTGTCGCTCCAAGCGACTATCACCTGTTTACCTGCCTGAGGAACCGGTTGGGATCAAAGCACTTCAGCAATAATGAGGACTTGATGAAAGGTGTCAAAACATGGATGAGCTCATTGGTGGCAGACTTCTTTGACACAAGCATACAGAAATTCATTCCCTGAAAAGACAAAGCCTCAATTCCACTGGTGACTACATTGAGAAGTAGCTTAAGTACGTACATATTTTTTGTATATATCTCTTTCTCATTACTTGTTTTGTTAACACTAGAGGTTACTTTCCAAATATCCCTCATATCTCCATAATACAATTATGAGTTAAAATATTCTCTTTTTAATTGTCTAGGTTACTGAGAATTTGATCAATATTCCATGTGACTACTGGGCTAACTTCTTTAAAGTGGACTCAGGACTGGTTTCAAATTCCCCACTGTCAGCCGCCACAGTGCGCATGCTACCAGACTGTGTAAGAACCATGAAGAATAGCTTCACACCTGCTCATGGGTAAGGTGAGATTAGTATAGACTTAACACTGATGACAGGAAATTTTGATACATATGTTCCTTCATTTAGAGCTGGGATAGTGAAGTCAGTATAGCAACTGACTACAGGCTGGATGACCAGAATTTCAATTTCTCCATATCCAGACCAGCTCTGGGGCCCTCCCAGACTCCTATCCAGTGGATACTGGGGGCTGTTTCCCCAGGCATAAAGTGGCTGGGGCGTGAAGCTGACCACTTACGTTCAAATAGTGCTGAGGTTAAGGAGATGGTCTATACATCCACTCCCCCATATGTCTTTGTGGCTTAATGCTTAATTAGTTAAGCACATGGACAGCTTTACCTTTTTACTTTCCTTCAGTTGTTTTAATCCTTACACATTCAAGTACACTAAACTGCCAGTTACCCAGTATCTAAGCATTTGGAATTCTTGTCCAGCTAGCAAACATTTCAAAGAAAATCTGCAATACTTAGAAAGTTATTCAAACAAATTTTTGATTTGCATATGTTCACCTGTTCTACAACAGTTCTCCCAGCCACCACCACCCATCAGCCTCACATACACAGGTGCCATTACAGTAGAGGTTTGTACTTATGTTCTCATTACAGTATATATATCCCAAAATCCTTCATCTCTATATCCAGTATGCCAACTATGAAGACTTTGATGCAAAAAGTACAATGAAGTTTTGTCATTTCAGCTTTTTATATGGTTTCTTTAACAGTTTTCTTGTGCAACTGGTAGATTCATGTAATGGGCAGAATGTGTTCCCCTTGCATGCTGGTTAGTGAGGAGTTCACTATATTATATGGTGTGGTGACCCCACTAGGTTTAGTATTTTCACATTATTAGAAATAATACTAAGTTTTCTAAAGTCACGTCTTGCCATCGTTTATAACACACACTCCTAGAGGAAATTTGAATATTGAACCTATAAAAGATGCTAAAATTGTCTCTTCTTGCATGAAATCAATGGAAAAGTTCAGAACTCTCATCTACAGTCCATGATCATAAAGTGGAACCCCCTATCTGATAGATTCTAAAGGTTTCTGACGATGGTGTATAATCAGAATTACTGGGTTTTTGGACTTTGTCCATCATCCCGTATTCTAGAAACTATAGAACGAAACATTTTGGAAACTAGATCTGTTTTTTGTCCTCATATGAGAGGGAAGAAGTGATTGAGGTTAGTTCTTTCTAAGGGATCCAACAGAGCAGTGTCTTTCCCTTCACCTGAGGACGGGAACAGATCCAGTTTCCAAAGCGTGTTTTATAGTTTCTAGAATACCGGACGATGGACAAAGTCCAAAATTCCAATAATTCTGACTCCTGTCTAATGTTCCTTGATTTAAGGTTTTTTATTACTGTAGTGACCAGGCTGCAGGCTAGGTGTCCAGGGAATCAGGGTTTGATTCCTGGTAGAGGAAAGAGGTTTTGCTCTTCCCCACAGTGTCCAGACCAGCTCTGGGGCCGATCCAGACTCGTGTCCAGTGAGTAACAGTGACTCTTTCCTTGAAAGTAAAGCAGTCAGGGTATGAAGCAGCCCAGACACCGCTGTCCAGTGCTGAGGTTAAGAATGAGTGGAGCTGTACCTCTGTTTACCTTTGACTCATTTAATATTCAGTTTATATGATCCTATATAAATGACCTCAATGTTAAATTTCCCCTATTTTAGATTTTCTGCAGTTCAATGCACCCAAAAGAAATTTTGTAGTGGGGTTTCACTTTATGTATAGACATAAATAGAATTTATTCATCTCAGGTTTTGTATCGAACAGCCTCCGTATGATTTCTTAGACTTATATAATGAAATTAGGAAGACATACATGTAGGATGTATTGATATACATAGCTCCAAACCATTACAAATATCTTTGCAAGAATGTCATTGCCAAATGAATGCTTATGATATCTAAGAATCCTTATTTCTTGTTACTTTCAGGTTCATAGGCAGACGCAGGAGATATTTTGCTACTCTATCTAAAAAATTGTTTTAGATTTTAGGTATACACTAGACATTGCTTTTATTGATTGTTTTTTCATTCTTTTAAATGTATGATGATCTTTTTACCTTGTACTAAGAATGTTACTAAACTAATTGCCAAATTTTCACTTGTAGATGTGAACATTGAAAGGTTGCTGATCCAATAAGAAAGGATTCTTTTTGGGGGGGGGGTTAGTTTTACCTCAGTACCTTTCTTACATTGCATCAGATACAAACATCTCCAGGAATATCTGTTTGCAGCAAAGAGCATTTAGAAAACATTAACTGTTTGGGCCTATCATCAGTCAAGTAATGGATTTTATTTAAGTCATTAAATATATTGTTGTGTGAAGTTTCAAACCTTTTGATGTGTATGAACAAAATATCATTGTATAACTTTTGTGAAATATTAAATGGCCTCAGAAATTTATGATATTTGGAATAGAAAAAATGATAAATAAAAATGGACCAATGTGGTATTCTTTTTGGGTTGGGGGTTGTGGACTAAAGTGATTAGATCTTAGATACAAAACTCTGAAACATTTCATACAATGTGAATAATGCTTGGCTGTTCTATTTCTTATAACAAGCAAAGATTAGGTCATTAGGCATGAAATGAACTGGATCCCTTTGAATGTCAGTAAAATTTTTTGTGTGTGTGTAATTGAGTACATTTCTTGTTTCATCTCCTCCTCCTCTTCCCTGTTCCCCTCTTCTTCCTTCCCCTCCTCATTCTTCTTTTTCTCATGTTAAGTAACCTGTTACAGCTGAATCCAGAAAAATGTTATCCTTCTAGGCCTGGTAGCTTTTGTATATCAACAATTCAGAATTAAAAAAGAAATGACAGTTTTGCAGTGGCATAGTTTGTAGTACTATTTGCAACAGTTCTGGCCATAATTTAGCTAGAGAGCATATTTTGGGATAATGAAATGCAGATTACTGTCGTCTGGGATGTGACACAATATAATCTGTTATTTGCCATTGTTCCGGAGGAATCTTTGAGCTAATGTGCTGCATTTGCTGAGGGTAGTTCTACCATGAAGATGGAAGCAGCAGGTCCCTGTAAAAAGAGTAGTAAATATCTTCAGGCATGACATCCTAAAAGACAATCTTTGTAGCATTACCATGAGAACCTCAGATCTAGTCTAATGAAATGCAGTTTTTTTCTGAGCCGTTGTATCCCTCAGTTCAACATGTGACTTTCAGTGGTCATTAATGTTTTTCAGGAATATTACATATTTATATAAAGTTATCTTACCCCCAAAATGGAAATGAATTTGATCAATGACTAATAAGTTTATGATGCCCAAACACTGGAGAAGAATACCGTTTTGGCCGAATGATTACTTATAACAAACATGGACATTTCTTAGAGCTGCATTGCTAATAGGATAGTTCTTGACTTTCCACATGAGAGATCAGTTTAAATGTGGCAGTGGTTTATAGCACATAGTGGCCAGTAATATCCACGTTCTGAGGTGATACAAGTATATTGCATTGGTTCATCCTTANGGAATATCGGTGTTGATGCTAAATGGGCCGTGCCATAGCTCAAGCAGTTAGTCCCTGGCTTCCCACCGCAGCGGCCCGGGTTCGATCCCAAGTCTGGTCAAGTGGGATCTGTGGTGGACATAGTGGCGCTGGGGCAGGTTTTCTCCTAGTACTTCGGTTTCCCCTGCCAATCTTCATTCCACCAAATTCTCCATCATAATCACCCGGGGCAGGCTACAATAGGCCAGTCAGTGGCTGCCATGCCGAGTGGACCCAGTTGGACTCCACCCCCCACTAAGCGAATTTTTTTATGCTAAATAATATTGTAGTAAAGAAGGAAATTATTCTTGTTCAGCAACTTGTAACTGCTTAGGCAGACAAAAAAAAAATATATATATATGACTTCCTGATGTGAGAAAACTGGATCAGTACTCCTAGCGTACTTGTATTTCAGACAGATATGAACCACAAGTAGAGAGCACACCAGTGCTGTATTATGGGTATTCCAACACAGCTGTATTGCAGCAGCATAAACCACATAGGTTTATGCTATATGTACATCTGAAGAAGTCTAACAGCTGTATTATAGACTGACAGGAAGATGTCTGTATGGGCTGTTCTTCAGGACAGAAGGAAGGCACCTGGGCTACAATAGGAGCTGGAAGGTAGATATGTTTACAGGTTGTATTATAGGAAATATATCTCTCTATATCATAGTCCATATAGACGCTATTCTGCTGGCCTGTTTATATATGGACTATGATACAGAGAGAGAGATAGGACCCTATGAATCTTCTAAGACCCCTATGTAAGATTTGAGGCTTTCACGGCTGTGACTATGAAGAAAGCAGTCTTCTTGGATTTGGCACTGTGTATATGTGGTGTTAACCGACGTTCCTCCGAAACGTCGGTTAACACCACATATACATGGTGCCAAATCCCAGAAGACTGCTTTCTTCTAAGACCCCTACCGAAAAAGTCTGTATGGAGTATATATACGAGTATATCGACAGAACTAAGTATGTAACTGTTCTATCTTACTTCAAATTATGGTGGAACGAAATGGAGTCTATTGCTTGATGTGGGCCCATGTTGAACAAATTTACAACACACCCCTGAAACATGTAACTAGGTAAGCATAGCTTTCAACTAATTTGATTTAAGGGCCAAAAAATGCCAGTGATCCAATATATCATACCCTCATGCTGCTGAATATTCAAGAGTTGGCAACAACACCGAGCCTGTAGTAACCATTGTTTAGGAATCCTAAGGTTCTGAAGGGCAAAGTGGCATGGCGAGAGGCAATCGACGAAACCGGAGGCTCTGAGTAACTGGCAAACAAAACCAGACATCACATAAGCGGTGACATGAGGCATAAGGCCCGAGACACTGCGAGGTACTACGCTGGAACCTGCAGCAAAAAGGTAGTATGCATGATATGACGTCACCAAACTTGGTGTGGAATTGATGAAACCATCTCCATGGAGCTAAACACTTTCTGAGAAGCCACCAGTTTTACAGCTACTCAAGAACTTCCCAACATTCTATGAAGCCTGGAGGTTCATTACCATATTCACAAAAGCCCTCCACTACTCCCTATCCTGAGTCAGATCAAGTCGTGGATAGGAATTCTGATCCAGAGGGCAGCAATCCTGAGCGAGGCTTTTCAGTAACGTCCCTTCTAAGGCTGAAAACCCACTGACGCGACTAGTCGCGAGCGGCTAGCCGCTCTTTGTCGCGCGCGTCCGTTAGTTGTACATATTAGGCGTGCGACAGCTCTGAAGCCTGTGTGCCGCGTTCCAAAACTTAACCGCGCGCGGCTCATAAAAGCAATACAAATAACGGCCTCGAGCGACAACACTCGACAAACCGCGCGCGGCTTGTCGCGTCAGTGGGTTTTCAGCCTAAGCCGTGGAGACAAGTGCGCAAGTCACGATGTCTTCTGTGCACCAATTGGATTGGGCTGAGCGAACCCTGGGGGGCAGCGATTTTCGAAAAAGTCCGTAACACACATCAAAAATGTATAAGCTCCCAAGAAAGAAAGAAAGAAAAAATTGTAGTTTACTTGGAAAATTTAATTTTTATTACTTCAAAATTGACTATATATTAGACAGATAAATTGCGCAGAAACGGAATCGTGTGCGGGAGTGCGACAACCGCTGCGCGGCCGCGTATCTTCAAGGGAACATTCCTTTTCACGTTTTTCACTCAACCCCACTGGAAAAATTCCAGGATAGTACATCAAATTAAGCTACTGCACAATTCCATCGACGTCATTTTCAGTTCCTTGTTCACTAATGATCCTAACAATTGATATTAATTTGCCAGAGTTACTGATATCTCTAAATATGATAGAGCAGTGAACCATTTCCCTTCATCGCAGGATTCAAATCAGATGTCCTTGAGCTGAGATCCCCTCCCCATTTTTCATGCTTCCACCGGCATCTGCTTTAATTATGCCTGTCTCAATGATATTATCATCAACATTATTATTATTATATTACTGTGTGTATGCATATTTCGTTTCTTTTTTAATTGCTCGTTCTAACTTCATAATTGGTCTGATACAAACTCCGTGGCCTGTAGTCCGCAAGCGAACTATACCGATCGAGCGACCGTTTGTCAGCGAAGTTAGTGCCAACATTTGCGGATAGAGGGTGTCACGTGGTCAGCGCAACGAATCCCCACGGCCGTTAATCTCTGTTTTCTAGACCGGAGCCGCTGTTTCCTTGAAATAGCTCCTCAATTATCCTCACGAGGATAAGTGGACCCGTTCCAGACCCACTACTTCCCAGAAAATCTGGTAGCGCCGGGAACCGAACCCGGGACCTCTGGACCTTTAGGTGATCAATTGGTCTGATAAGGAAAACTAAATGAATTTTGCATTCGTAACGCGGCTCTGTCGAAGTAGTGAGCAGCAAAAGAGAAAACGGGCGTACATTGTTGGATCACTACCATCAGGAGAGTGGTCATAAGAATACCACTGTCACCTTGACAACAGAAACGCAGTGACGTAGAACACTGCATGGGAGAGCCCATGGGGCGGCAATTCCCCCACAGTCTGACCAACGTGACAGAGCCTGACCCAGCGTAGTCCTGCCAGAGAGCGGTAACAATGTCGCGCTTCTTTATGAAAATGTAAGTTCTGAAACAGAATATTTACCAATTGAATTCCAGCGCTGAATCTAAACATTTTTCCAAAGTATTTTTAAACAATTGCGATGGACAGGGTATAAAGTACAGAGAGATGTAACGAGAAATACGCACAAAATTTTGTTTGAGAAACCTAAATGAAAGATACAACTAATAATACTAAGGAGTAGAAGGAATGCTCTTGCAGAAACGTCGCCAGAAAATGTAGACTGAATCTGGTTATAGAACAACTGCGGGATTTTGTGAATACGGCGATGAATTTTCAGGTTTAACGAAGGCGCGGAATTTCTTAAGTAGATGAATTGGATACAAACTGCACCGAGAGTGGCGCACATATGTACCGTCCGTGTCTTCAGACCTGGCCGTCTGTGCACTGAATTTGGCCGAGTCCACTGGATCAGATTCGTCCGAAATTCGAGTTGGACGAAGTGGCAGTGGAGCAGCTTTTATCTCCAGTTTCCACGATTTTCCCCTGTTAATCATAACTCCACTATTGCCCCATACTCCATCTATTACCGCCCTTGAAGTGTATGACACAGCTGGCCCGGCAGCGCATTACCACATCCTCGGTGTTTAAGTTCTGGACTTCATATCTGACCCACCACTCGATTGATCGTGGAATGAAGACGTTTCTTTTGCTAAAATTAAAGAAAATTACGATTGTCCCTCTGCTTGATTAATTGAAACTACACAAAGAAGCGTACGGGAGAGGAGAATTGATTTTCTTAGCCTCGGAACTAGATGGAAGTGTTTAATTTCTTTAATCAACGACGCTGTCAGTATTGAGGCTACATAGCGCCGATGATAGGATGAGAATGAAAATCGGCCGGGGAAATCGGAGTACTCTGTAAAAACCTGTTCAGATGTCAATTTGTCTACCACAAATCCCACATGTCCTCACTTTGGATCGAACCCGGGGCGCCGCGGTGGGAAGCCAGCGACTTTCCGCTTGAGCTACGGCGCGGCCTTAGGGTAGAATAATAAATAAGACATTAAAAATTGGCTCGTGCTAGCCCCTGC